GCCGAGTCGGGCCTGGAAGCTGTGGCTGGGGTCCGTCTGCCTATGTCTGTGGAAGTTCACCATCCCTTGCCGCTTTCTGTCTGTCTGCTTTTGGCAGGGGTCAGAAGGTGACCTGCATGAGGACAGAACGGTGCCTGTTACTTCTGAGTCTTTCACATTCTGTGGTTCACCTCTGGGCCCCCCTATCTGGAAGGTGATTCTGGAAAAATGTAGTTCCCAGACTCAAAAGGGAGTGGTGGTGATATCGAGTTGAGCTTAGAGTGACTGGCACATTGAGCCAGAGTGACTGGCACATCCCAGGATGCTGGGATCGAGTCCCGCATCAGGCTCCCTGCTCAGCGGGGAGCCTGCTTCTCCCTCCCCTCCCCGCTTGCTATCTCTGTCTCTCTCTCTCAAATAAATAAATAAAATCTTTCTAAAAAAATATTTTATTTATTTATTGCACACAGAAAAAGAGAGAACGAGCACTAGCAGGGGGAGTGGCAGGCATAGAGAGAGGGAGAAGCAGACTCACCACAGAGCAGGGAGCCCGATGCGGGGCTCGATCCCAGAACCCTGGGATCATGACCTGAGCCGAAGGCAGACCCTTAACGACTGAGCCACCCAGGCGCCCCATGAAAACCATCTTGAATCATAAGTCCTATATGAACATACATGGAGTTCTGCATGCAAGTAGTTTGAATGACACTGGGATATTAGGAAGTAGGGCTAGAAACTAATAAAATATGCTGATGGTCTCATCTCAGTGCACAACAACAAGGTGGATAACAGAGCAGACAACAATTGCCCGATGGCTAAATCACCTACAAGATAAACTTTGGTAAAATACAAATTGGCGGAAACCTTCAGAACTTAAAAAATTACCCCAAATCATCCAATTCAATACAGATTGGATTTCAATGAGTTGAATTTAGTGGATTAACCTAAAGACAGAGAGAAATCAGTATCATTTCATTTGAATGCCACATCTATACAAATACAAAGTAAGTAAAGGCTACCACCTCTAAAAACAAAATAAATGATTTCAAAAGCAGAAAGTGGAGGGAGAAAGTGAGTAGATAATTTCAAAGTGGGTACATGAGGAAATAAATCCATATTGTTGGTAGAGCTAGAAGCCAAACAGGAATAAAACCGGGAATAACTGGGGCGCCTGGGTGGCTCAGATGGTTAAGCGTCTGCCTTTGGCTCAGGTCATGATCCCAGGGTCCTGGGATCGAGCCCCACATCAGGCTCCCTGCTCGATGGGAAGCCTGCTTCTCCCTCTCCCACTCTCCCTGCTTGTGTTCCTGCTCTCGCTGTGTCTCTCTCTGTCAAATAAATAAATGAAATCTTAAAAAAAAAAAAAAAGTTTTACAAAAAGGTCTTTGGAGGTTTTTTTAAAAAAAAAAAACCGGGAATAACTGTGCCGGGAAATGGGGGAGCGAGGGACGAGGTCTCCTTTTTAGTTTGTACAATTCAGTCCTGTTCCAGTACTTCTGTTTGCACAGCCTATGCGTTATGTCTGCCTTAGAGAACTTTTTGGTGGGTTCAGATGAGAGGAAGTTAGGGAGGGAATATGCTCCTTGAATGCGTTGCCCGTGGTTTCCCCCGCTAAAGTTACCTCTGGGAAGATCTCCCTAATTGTGCAAATTAAAAGGTCAGGTTTCCTTAATCCTTTCTGTTATTTAGCACTAATTTTTGTTTCCTTTGGTATATTGATTTTGTAAACCATTGTAGTTTTGTTTGTTGTATTTTCTGTAGGATTTCTACATTCTGTTACACAGGATAATTGCCTAGAGCAGTTTCTCAGCGGAAGTTTTTCTTTCCTGCTTAAGTCATTTCTGGCAAAGGCTAGAAACTATCTCCTACTCCGTGTGTCTAAATTGCTCTCATTTATCATGGCTGGCCTTGAACTCATCTTATTGCCCTCATACTGGTCCTCATTCAACATTTCCCAAGACACCACTGGAATTACTACTATCCATCCCGTGTCTGGAAGCTAGAAATTTACAGGGAAAGAACAACAACAAATTTAAGATTATTTTCCATTAAGAGAATATTAAGTTCAGGGGTGCCTGGGTGGTTCAGTTGGTTAAGTGTCTGCCTTCAGCTCAGGTCATGATCCCATTCAGGGATCCAGCCCCGTGTCAGCTCCCGGCTCAGCAGGGAGTCTGCTTCTCCCTCTCCCTCTGCCCCCTCAACTCGTGTTTTTTTTTCTCTCTCTCTCTCTCTCTCAAATAAATAGATAAAATCTTTTTTTAGAAAGAGAGAATATTAAGTTCCAACAAGGAAAGGGAAAAAGAAAAGATGGAGGAAAAAAAACCCCAGAAAAACTAAAATAACCTGGAGTTTTCAGATCTGGCCCTGGTTTGCCAGGAGTATTGTTCAGGAGCTGGGGAGCTCAGCGGTGGATCTGGGAGGCAGGGAGAGGCCACAACCCCAGGGAGAGATGCTGGCTCCCCAGGTCCTGGCTTCATTCCTCATCCCTCTGGTGTCTGGATGCCACTCTAACCTCCCTGTGCTCCGGGATGCGTTCTGCTGATCTGTAATGTGCATTGGTCCACGAGCACAAATAAACCAGAGCAGATGTTTCAGAATCCAAGGCAGAAAAAAAACAGTGATGAGCCAGAAATTCAAGACTGCTCACAAATAGAAGGTAGTTGATGATGGATTGTTCCCAGGACAAGTGTTCTGCCAAGATTCTTGAGAGAGAAATGTCATCCCATGGGGAGAAATTAATCAGAGCTTATTTTTATCTAAACCAGGGAGCAAGTGGCAAGGAAAGCAGGCCAGTTCAACATCAGCAAGTAGCCAGTAAGTCTCTGTCACAGTGATAGAACTAGCCCACTAACGTTTACAGAGGGCTTAAAAAAAGAATTACCTCGCTGAATAAAAATTGTGAGTTTTTCCAAACTGACTTTTAGGAGCGAAACTATCCAAGGCACAGGGAGTTGTATTGCTTTGCTTGGGTGAAAAAATAGAGAAAAAAATTAAGGTAGGAAAAAATAGTCAACAATGCCATTCATTACTCCTCAAAAATTTACAAATTACAACTCATAAAAATGAGAAGGAAGAAGTGAGTCCTGCAGACAAACCAAGAAATAGGTATATCGTTTACAAGGCCTAAAACCAGAAAAAGTTCCTGTTGTACTTTGAGGAGTGTACCTAGACCAGGGTGCTGGAGGTGGGGGGATGGATGCGTCATTTTATTTCCATAGTTTGGTGCATCTTATTATTACGCTAATCTCACACATTCCTGCTGCTTCATAGAATTGTTTTGGACTCTACACAAGTTGCTGTGAGCCTTCAGGAAGTGAGAATGGGAGGCCAGTTCCCTGCCTGTCTTGCCTTTGGACTCCATGCAAAACCACTTTTCAGCTGTGTGAATTAAGAAACTTAGAGTCTGGGGCGCCTGGGTGGCTCAGTCGTTAAGCGTCTGCCTTCCGCTCGGGTCATGATTCCAGGGTCCTGGGATCGAGCCCCGCATCGGGCTCCCTGCTGGGTGGGAAGCCTGCTTCTCCCTCTCCCACTCCCCCTGCTTGTGTTCCCTCTCTCGCTGTGTCTCTCTCTGTCAAATAAATAAATAAAATCTTAAAAAAAAAAGAAACTTAGAGTCAGGGGTGCCCAGCTGGCTCAGTCAGTGGATCATGAGACTTGATCTCAAGGTTGTGAGTTTGAGCCCCACATTGGGTATAGAGATTTCTTAAAAATAAAAGCTTTAAAAAAAAAAAGGAAGGAAAGAAAGAAAGGAAAGAAGGGAAGGACAGAAGGGAGGGAGGATGGAAGGAAGGAGAGAGAGAGAGAGAGAGAAAGAAAGAAAAGAAAAGAAAGAAAGAAAGAAAAAAGCAATCCTTGAAGCTGAGAATTTACCTGAGTTTATCATGGTGTTTTGATAGTGATGGGTTGTAGAATATCAGCATGTTGATCATTAGGTGTTCAAAAAGGAATTCAGTGGGGTGCCTGGGTTAAATGTCCAGCTCTTGTGGGTCTTGATCTTAGGGTTCCTGTGTGTCTTTTCTTTTTAAAAACAACCAGAGAGGGGATAGGGCCCCTGGGTGGCTCAGCGGGTTGAGCATCCACTTCTTGGCTTTGGCTCAGGTCATGATGTCAGGGTCGTGAGATTGAGCCCCGCATTGGGCTCCATGCTCCACACGTTGTCTGCTTGAAAGATTCTGTCTCTCCCTCTCCCTCCCCCCCCCCCCCCATTCTCTCTCTCTCAATATATATTTCAAGG